CCCCAATCCAGATGGCATGGTCTTACAGAATTTTTTTTTTCAAGGTGAACAATATGGACAGAAATACTATACAGTTGTAGACATAGACATAGTTGTTGTTGTTGTTGTTGTTGCTGTTGTTACGTGCCATCAAGTTGCTTGCAACTCACAGCAATCCTATGTACAATAGCTGTGAATCCTCCTCTATCCTGAGTGAATCTCACAGCCTCTAACACACTTATCCTCATTACGACAGTTATTGTCTCAACCCATCTCCTCTGGGGTCTTCCTCACATGTGCGGTCCATCAGCCCTTTCAAGTATAATATCTCTCTCCGAAGACTGGCTCCCCTCCTGGTTACATGACCAAAGTATGTGAAATGGAGCCTGAAAATCCTTTCATCCAAGGGCAACTTGGTTTCACCCTCTCCAGGACAGACCTGTTAGTTCTCTTGGCAGTCCATGGTATGTGCAAAACTCTTCTTTAGCAGCAAAATTCAAAGGTGTCAATTCTTCTGCCATACCTGGTCTTTCTCTAGCTCTCAGAGGTATAATAAGAAATTGCAAAGACCATGATCTGCTTAGGTGCACCTTAGTCTCTGGACTGACATCCTTGCTCGTCAACAATCTGGAGAGGTCTCAGATAGCACATTTCCCTAATATGATTCATCTTTTGATTTCCTAACTGCTGTTGCCAGGAGTATTGATTGTGGAACTAAGCAAGGTAAAATTGTTAACAATCTCAATCTCTTCACCATCTATTACAATGGTAAGAATCTTTGTTTTTTTGGTGTCGAGCTTCAATCCATTTTGCAAACTACAGTCCTTGACCCTCTGCACCAGGTTTCAGCAAGTAAGGTTGTATCATCTACATAACACAGGCTATCAATGAGTCTTTCTCCAATCCTGATACCACTTTCTTCCTCATAAAGTCCAGCCTTGTGAATGATCTGTTCTACATACAGATTGAAATGGTATGGAGACTGAACACATTCCTGCTGAACCCCTTTTTGGATTTTAAACCATGCGGTGTTTTCTTGCTCTGTTCTGACAACTGCCTTCTGGTCCAGGTGTAGGTTTCGCATGACCAAAATCAGGTGTTCTGGGATCCCAATTCTTCTCAAGGTTAGCCATAATGGTTTGAGATCCATAAAGCCAAATGCCCGTTTTAGTCATAGACACAGTTATAGATGTCTAATTGCTAAATAATAGTCTCTGAGATCACAAAGAATTACAAAATGAAAGATAAGGATACATATAAATATAAGGAAAGATGGGTATAGGAATTTCTTAAAACAGTAGAGGTGAATTTATCATAATTAAGAGAATAACTTTGTACCAGAAGCTACATGAGAAAGAAACACATATTAATATTCCCACAAACCATTTACATTGTTTTCCTCATATTTTCTTACTAAACTCAGGAGGAAAAGTTGATAGTTAATTCTGATAATAGCTTTTTCTCAATTTTGTATGAGAAATAAAAATGCAGAATCACTGCCTTTGCTATCTATGTATCCCCACTTCATAGCAAATATTTGGCACATTGGTGCTCAATAATATATTGTTAAATAATAATAATAAATTATGTACACATACTCTTTCTATACACATTGTTGTTGCTATGTGCCGTCAAGTTGCTTGTGACTCATAGTGACCCTATGTACACATTAGATACCTCTATATATTGCCTCCAGAAACTCTAGGAACTTAGAGAAATGATGAAAGTCATAAACGTTCAGGACTTTCATTCATATGGTCACTACAAGTCATCTATGATTTGACAGCATTTAACAACAACAACATATGCAAGTGAAGAGTTGCATAAGGACAAAGAGATGTCAGAAAACAAGTTTAAACCAATGCAATTAATGAGAGGTACTGTTTAGGAGAATGAAGACCTCAAAAAAAGTGAAATCCAAGAATAATACAAAGACTGAGTTGTTTGACTTGGAGCCTGTACTGTAGCACTGATGGCCATAAGCTTTCCAACACAGGAGTGTCAGTAGAAGTTGAACATTACTTGCTAGAGCAACTAAGTAAGTACCCTGACCAAAAGAAGCACTGAGAAGCAATATTTTGGGTGGAGAAAAGGGTCCAGGGTAAAAAACTAAATTAGCAAAATTACCTCAGAATATGTTCTTATGCTAAAAATCCTTTTGGATTATGTGTTTTGTAATCTCTCCACCTACACTCTTCCAGCCTGTACAGATCTCTCAAAGTAGATATTCTCTGCTATTCTATTATTCATTTTTCTATCAAGACTCAAGTTTCCTGACCTTGTTTTTCTGCTTCTTTCCAGCATCCCAGAGGTCTTTTTAGTGTCTTGAGGGAATTGCCACTCTCAGTTAGGGCCCTAATAGCTGGATAAGTACTGTAGTCTTTTGCTCACTTACACTTTTAATCTTGCAAGACCTGAATTTCTACTAGCACTCCTTGAACATAGAGATGGTAAGTCTGTCTGTCAGTGTTCTCAGTTTTATAGTAGGTACACTGTGATTAGACTAAAACCCTGACCACCTCGAAGATAATTTTTTTTTTTCTGGCATTGTCTCCTCCTAAGATAAAGACTAAATTACAATTTTTGAGCACTCCTGTGTGCCATATGATGTGACTGGCTCTTCCAACAAGCACCTTCTATGGCACTTCCACGATACAGACGTCATTTGATAGCCTGTAAAGTAAGACTCAATCACTCCAAGTCATAGGTAAAATCAGGTGTTCTTAAAAAAAGAAACTAGGTTGACAGCGGTCAGAGACTTTGTCACGATCATAAACCTGGTGAGTGGTTGACCTAGAATTTGAATTGAGTAGCTTTTGGTCTTCCAGTTAATGAACTGAAAAGTTTCTGGATGCTCACAAACACATGTGGGAAAATTATACAGAAATTTTTTCCTATGAGGCAGCTTTATCCCTAGTATTTCAGCTCTTGTTGCATATTTAGTCAGGAGAGATACTTGCCCTTATCCTCCAGGTGTGGCTATGCCTTACAGTATTTCACCATTCTGACATGACCAAATGCTGACAAACTCTGGGCCAGAGACCCCTAATTCATCTAGCAAGTCTGCACTGTGGCCACCCACTTGGGGCAAACATAAAGTCACAGATGCCCCAGTGTTCCTGACTTGCCTCTCATCCAGGCTCCAAAGGTTGCATTCATCCATCCTGGTGACACTAAGACTCAGGGGAGACATTTGTCCTTATCCTCCAGCAGTGGCCATACCCAAACTTTGCCCCAAGTGTGTGGCTGCACAGCAGACTTGCTAGATGAGTTAGGGATCTCTGGCCCAGAGTTTGTCATCATTTGGGTGTGCTGAAAAGGTAAAATACCATAGGGCCCTTGGGCCTGCTGCCCTCGGGCCACTTTCTAATCTTTTTAGTCAAACATTCTTCTAGGTCATAGAGCCTGGTGTGTCCACTTGCCATACAAAAGTAATTTGCGGTTGCTTTGAAGCTGAACACTGTGACACTGATGTGTCAAATGCAATAATGGTTACCCATCGTGGACAGTGTTTGGTGGAACTCCTCAATTAAAGCAAGCTTGGAAGGAGAAGTGGCATCCACTTCAGAAATAGCTTGTCTCCAAAAACCTATGAACCTGGAGAAAGGATGAAAGCCATGCAAGGGTCGAGGACTTTCATGCATAGGGTCACTATGAGTGTCCTACGATGGCACTTAACAACAACAACAACAACATAGCATACTTTTGTTTGGTATTGTGTGTTTTTGTATTGGTTTTGGTTTTATTTTTGTTATGTTTTGTTTTTTTAGATTGTTACACTATAATACACTGTTTAATCAAGGCTTTTCCCCCTTGGTATGAAGCTGAAGTTCAGTTATTCCAGGTGAGAGTTATTGGGGAAAAGCTGAGTGTCTTCTTAGTCTCATCTTCAGAAAGATATAGATGCAGGAAGTCAGAACTGCCAAGATCTAAATAGGACTTCTTTTACAGATTCTGGACATACTAAGCTCAACATATGCTCTGACAACTCTTTTATCATCTATGAAAATAGGACTAGAGCAAGAGAGTGTGTGGCTTCCAGATCAAAGAGGGAGCAACAAGTTCTTTGAGTGACAGCAAGAGGTGAGGAAACTTAATTCATAAAATATGCTCAGTGTGGTCATGCTACTAATCCTGATCTTTGTATTTGCTTACAGGAAATTATTCTGTATCCCTAAAGACTAAAATTTACCCCCAGCCCTTTTTTCTTAATTACAGAAATGTATTTGGTACACAGTGATTTCTCAGTTGCTGGGTGTTTTTGTTTTTTTTTAATCAGATCCCATACCATAACTATATCAACTTGACCCCTTACCATTTGACAAAGTCTGTATGACTCTACCTGATTCCACTAGATTCAATGTAGTAAAGCAAGCATGGAATTCTAGTAGTAAGCATGAGCCAGGAATCTTGGATTACTCAAGAATAATTACTTCAAGAGTATCAGTCCCTCACCATGCATACAGCTCTTCCTAATCAGAAGCCAAGCTCTGGCAATGACATTAAGAGAAGGGAGAAAAAAAATCATCCTTTCTTCTCTTCTTTTTAGTTTTCATTTTCCTGGATTTAACTATGCCATGCAATATGCCTGACTTTGGAGCATTATATCATCCATTTATTATCACATAAGTATATGAATTGGGGGGAGGAGGGAATAATATGAGAGTATAGGCAAAACAGGATTTGCTGGCAGAAAAAAAAAGAGTGTCAAGAATTCCTAGTCCTTCATCTCAATATGGAGAGGATTCTGCAGTCATCATACACCCATCCTCCAAGCCAGACTCAAGACCTCTGAACTAGACAGAACTTGAAATGACTCCTTTGAATTTGGATGATATTAACTGCACATCCATGCTGTCTCACATCATTTTTCAAATTTTTCAGCCTGGATGTTTTTCATGGGGTAACAAGTATTTCCTGATGCCATTCATTACAACATGATGATGAATCCCATCTCTCTGGACTTGGCCAAGTTCAGAGCAAGGCAGTGAAATCTCATTCCACTCTGCTCTAGCTTAGTCATGCAGAACACTAACCACACCCATGAGAACCCAGCTTCCTTCCTGCTCATGGGAATTCCTGGTCTGGAGGCATCCCACTTCTGGATCACATTTCCCTTCTGCTCTATGTATGTATTGGCGGTACTTGGCATCGTTGCAGTGCTACTGGTGGTGCATTCAGAGCCTACACTGCACCAGCCAATGTACCTGTTTCTCTGCATGCTGTCCACCATTGACCTGGTGCTCTGCACCTCCACTGTGCCCAAGCTCCTTGCACTCTTTTGGGCAAATGCTGCTGAGATTGCATTTGAGGCTTGCGCTGCCCAGATGTTCTTTATCCATGGATTCTCAGCTGTAGAATCAGGCATCTTACTAGCAATGGCCTTTGACCGCTACTTGGCTATTTGCCGACCATTGCACTATGGATCATTATTGCCCCCAGAGGCTGTGGGAAAGTTAGGAGCTGCTGCTGTGCTTCGTGGTTTGGGACTTATGACCCCACTCACCTGCTTATTAGCAAGACTGACCTACTGTAGCCGCGTGGTGGCCCACTCCTACTGTGAGCATATGGCTGTGGTAAAGCTGGCTTGTGGGGGCACAAAGCCAAACAATATCTATGGCATCACCGCTGCCACACTGGTGGTGGGCACTGACTCCATCTGCATTGCTGTCTCCTACGCACTCATCCTGCGCGCTGTGTTAGGCCTCTCCTCCAAGGAGGCAAGGGCCAAGACCTTTGGTACTTGTGGTTCTCACCTTGATGTCATCCTGCTCTTTTACACACCAGGCCTCTTTTCATTCTACACACAACGCTTTGGTCAACATGTGCCCCGGCATGTCCACATCCTCCTGGCTGACCTCTACCTCGTCGTGCCACCCATGCTCAACCCCATCATCTATGGAATGAAGACCAAGCAGATTCGAGATGGGGCCCTTAGACTGCTGAAACGGAGTCCTGTTCAGTCATAAAGCCTTCAATCCAGCCGTGAGGCCCCACCCTTCCCTTCCCCCAACCTTGGAAAATGTTTTAAAAAGTAACATGACTAGAAGAGAGAAACCCAGATGTCTATTGGTCCAGTGGTGAAGACTTTTCTTTTTATGATGTTAAGATGTAACCTATATGGAAAGCTGTAGTCTTTCACCTTCTGCAGCAAGTGCTTCATGTTCTCTTCACTTTCTACAAGCAAGATTGTGCCATCTGTCTGCCATTGAGTCGTCTATGACTCATAGTGATCCTATGTGTGTTATATTTGTGCTGAAACCTGCTGTATCCTGAGCCAATCTCATCATCTCAGAATGACCTACTCACATTGCTTCAGTCACTGAGTCAATCCATCGCATCCTGGAGCTTCCTCCTCTGTGCTGTCCCTCTACCTTTCCAGTCATGATGTCCCTCTCCAAGGACTGGTCACTCTTGGCCATGTGCCCAAAGTATGGGGAACTAGAGCCTCAAAATCCTTGCTGCTAGTGAGCAGCTGTGTTTTACCCTCTCCAAATAGACCTGTTTGTTCTCCTGTCAGTCCAAAATATGTTCAAAACTCTTCTCCAGAACCACAACTGAGAGGCATCAATCCTCCTTCTATCATCCTTACTTATTGTCCAGCTCTCTGATACACAACAAGTAATTGAAAAGACCATGGCCTGGATCAGGAGCACCTTAGTCTCTAGATTGACATCATTGCTCCTTAGTACTCTAGAAAGGTCCCTGGCAGCAGACTTTCCCAATACAATTTGTCTTTCAATATCCTGACTGCTGGCACCAAGAGTTTTGATTGAGGAACCAAGCAAGCTTAAGTTATCAACAACCTTCTCTATTCATCAAAAAGCTGCCTCTTGGCCCTGTCGTAAGAATCTTTGTTTTCTTGGTGTTGAATCCATACTGTCCCTGACATTCTACAGCAAATATCTCGTGTCCTTCTCCATTTCAGTAAACAAAGTTATGTCATCTGCATAACAGAGGTTGTTGATGAATCTTCCTTCAATCCTGACGCCACATTCTTCCTCATTAAGTCCAGCTTCCTGAATGATCAGTTCTGCATATATATATTGAAAAGTATAGAGACAGGATGCACCCTGACACACACCATTCCTCATCTTGATCCATGCAATGTTTTTCTGCTCTGTTCTGACTGCTGCTTCCTGGTCCAAGTATAAGTTTCACATGAGCACAATTACGTGTTCTGAAACTCCCATTCTTCTGAAGGTTAGCCACAATTTGTTGTTATCCACACAGTCAAAATCCTTTGCATAGTCAATGAAACACTGATAGACATTCTTCTGGTACTCTCTGCTTTCAGCAGGGATCCATCTATCATTGGCTCTGATGCCCCTATTGTCATGGCCTCCTTGAAACTAAGCCTGCACATCTGGCTGCTCTCTGCTGATGTACTCTTCTAGTAATTTCTGAATAATCTTCAACAGGATTTTGCTTGTGTGTGATATTAGTGATACTGTTTGATCATTTCCACACTCTCTTGAGTCACCTTTATTAAAAAAATGGGAATAAATATAGATCTCTTCCAGTCTGTTGGCCAGGTAGTTGTCCTCCAGATTTCTTGACATACATTGATGAGCGTATCCAGTGCAGCATCTGTTTGCTGAAATATGTCAATTGGTATTCCATCAGTTCTAGAGGCCTTAGTTTTTGCCAATACCTTCAGAGCAGCTTGAACTTCCTCCTCCATCACCATAGGCTCTTGATCATATGGTGCTTCATGAAATTCTGTGTCAGCCAACTATTTTCCATCTTCTTTTGATGCTTCCTGGGTCATTCAACATTCTGCCTTCAGCATCATTAAGTGTTGCAACTTGAGGTTTAAACTTGTTCTTCAGCTCCTTCACCTTAAGAAATGCCAAGTGATAAAAGGTACATTCCAAAGAGAACCATGGAAGGGAGGTAACTGTGCAACAATGAATGAATTTAAAAAAAAAAAAAAAACATTAACTTGGGGGAGCAGGGAGAAAATGTGCAATAATGAATGAGTGTATGAAAATCTAACTTTTCTGCAAACTTCCATTAAAATAAAAATTAAAATTTTATAAAAAACGAAGACATTTTGAGCAAATTAAAAATTTTTATTTTCTGATTCCCGCTCTTTTCACATTTAATTATTACTTTGCTTTGTCTTCCTGTGCTACCTTTGATATCTTCTGTTCAGCGCCTTAAATTCTTGATCTCTTTGCATTGGATTCTTGGCATAGTAGTTCAATAGTCAGTCTCTTTTGACATCTATCTTGGTTTTTCTTTCTCCTCTGTCTTCACAGTGACTTTCTGCATTCTTCATAAATGATATTTTTTATATTCTCCCATAGCTCATGTCTTCTCTCAATTCTCAAGCTTCAAACCTGTTCCTGAGATGGTCTTTAAACTCCAGTGGGATAGACTCAAAGTCAAACTTTGGTTCTTGTGGATTGAATTTTATTTTTGTAACTTCAATTTGGACGTGCATATGAATAGTTGATGTCTGTTCCACAATTAACAATGGGCCTAGTTTTTACAACTGATATTGAGCATCTCCACTGATTCCCGCCCCCTGCAGATGTAATAAATCTGATTCCTGTGTAGACAATTATGTTTCTTATAAAAGGTGATTGCAATGAATAGGTTATTGGTCTACAGAATTCTATCATTCTGTTTCCAGTCTCACTTCTGTCACCAACTCCATACTTTCTGACTACTGATCCTTTTCCCCTCTTCCCAACTTTTGCATCCCAATCACCCACTATTACTGAAGTATCTTGGTGGCATGCTCAATCGTTTTCCAATCCAAAAGTTGGTAGAAGTCATCTATATTCTCCTTTTTGGCCCTGGTTGTTGCAGCTATTTGGATGACAGTGGTATTAACATGTGTTTCCTGTATGCAGATGGCTATTACCCTGTCACAGCATTATATTTCAAAATGGATCTAAAAATGGTCTTTTTAATTATAAAAGTGACTCCATGTTTTCTTGTCTTTTCATCTCCAGCATAGTAGATCATACAAGTATCTGATTCAAAATGTTCCATGCCAACTCATTTCATTTCACCAATGTCTAGTATGTCAATATTTATTTGCTCCATTTCTCCCTTGACAATATCCAACTTTCCTACATTCACACTTCTCACACTCCATATTCCAATCAGTAGTGTCTGTTTGCAACTGTTTCTCCTCCTTTGTGATTCCCAGTGAGAAGGTTCTGCCTCTGGTTCAATATTTGCTGGTCTACCCTAAATGTGCTCTATTGTACATGGGTTTTTCTGAAGCCCGTTATTTCAGAAGTGGATGGCCAATCTTTCTCCCTAATCTGTCTTAGTTTGGTTTCTTGACTCTAAAGAAATGTTTGAGAGACAAGAACTTTGCCCCAAAGAGAAGATGAAAGACTTTTCTCATTATTCAGGTAACACATCAGGTTTTGGTGCCAATCACCACCCCCTTAGGCACCGGTGTCCTGTTTCCACTCCTACCCCTGCTCTGCTAGCAACCAGCTCATTTCCCTTTTTTTTTTACTTCTCCAATAACTCGTATCCCCTGCCCCTAGCTGATCCTGGTTTGATGGCCCAGGTCTCCAACCACCTATATCCACCGACTACCTCTCCACTCTCCTGTGATGTTGGTGTTCCTACACAGTGCAGGTGAGACATCCTCCTTCTGATGGCTTCTCTCCTGAAGTCATTTGTCTTCCTTTGTCTCAGCAGTGGCCATCAGCATAATGCAAATTATTGATAAATCTTCCTCCAATCCTGATGCCACATTCTTTTTCAAAGAGTCTAGATTCATCCTGGAAAGGGTTAAACCAGGTGGCTCCTTGGAGGCAAGACTTCTGAGGCTCCATCTAACATACTTTGGACATGTTGTAAGGAGGGACCGGTCCTTGGAGAAGGACATCATGTTTGGGAGGGTAGAGGGACAGTGCAGGAGGGGAAGGCCCTCTATGAGGTGTATTGATTCAGTGCTGGGGTAATCGAGATGGGAGTGTCAGAGACAGTGCGATTGGCACAGGACAAAGCAGAGTTTAGGGTTGCTGTACACTGGGTCACTATGAGTCGCATGTGACTCGATGGCACGTAACAACAACAACTAGCTGCTCATCATATAGATTGGAAAAGAATGGAGAAAGGAAATAATCCTGTTGCACATCTTTTCTGATCTTAAGCTATTGCTTTTTTTATCTTAAGCTACTGCTTCTTGATCTATGTATAACTGTTGCATGAGAACAATTAAATGTTCTGGAATTTCCCTTTATATAAAATATAAAGAATAATAATGTAACTGTAGACATAGATGTAGGCTTGTAATTTATAAAAAGCATCTGTGAAAACAAAGATCACAATATAAAAGTGCAGTTGGTATTTGTGGAAGATGGTGTGTGAGAGTCTGTGAGAAAAGCAAAGGAACGCTTGTCAGGGTTAACACGAAGAATTCTCTAGTCTCTGATTTTGCATGAGAAAGAGAAAAAGAAACACATGCAGTTATTCCTACCTCTTATTTGGTTTTTCCATCCTACTATTTCTACTACTATGCTGGGTCTCTAGGTGGAGAGCGCAAAGATCATAATATACTGTAATTATCATTTCCTTCTGTATCTCAGAATAGAAACACGTTTCCCCGCATTAGCAATCTGTATATTTTCTTAACTGAACATAGACTTGGCACACTGTTAGTGCTCAATAATAATTTGTGATTGGGTGAGTAAACAACAAATGTATGTCCTTGTCAAAGATAAAAAAATACATATATGTGAAAAAAATGAAGTTATATGATGTACAATAAGATGCTTAGAATATGTTTTATTCAAAGTATTTAATGAAAAGCATTTGCTACAAGGATGACTAAAGGAAAAGAAGAAATAAAAAAAATACACAAGCAAGGTCAAGTGAAAAACTTTCCAACAGAGTTTTCTAATTTAGAAGCTATAGTACTACAAAGACATGTTTCCTAATTTCAGACTGTTTAGCCTTAAATTTAAATCACCTGTCAAAGTAACTAAGA